GTGACCTAGGCTGATACCACAGTACTGTAGCCTGGGCAACAGAGCGAGACTCTGTCTCAAAAACGAATAAATAAATAAAATAAAATAAAACCAGGCAATTGAAATTGGTATAATTCACAGAATTTATTCAGGTTTCACCAGTTTTACATGCACTCATTCGTGTTCATGTATGGATAATTGCATGCAACTTTGTCATGTGTACATTTTAGTAACTGACATCACAATCAAGACGCAGAACTGTTGGATTACCTACCACAAGATTCTCTTATACTACCCCTTTATGAACATATTCATGCCTCTCCCCATCTCCTGGAAACCATTAGTCTATTCTCTATCTCTATAATTCTGTTCTTTCAAGAATATTATATAAATGCAATAATACAGTATGTAACTTTTTGCAATTGGCTTTTTTCAGTTAGCACAATTCCCTTGAAATCTATCCAAGTTGTTGCATGTATTAATAGTTTATTCTTTTTTTTTATGTTGAGTCATGTTCCATGGTATGGATGTACCATAGTTTGTTTAACCATTCACTTGATGAAAGACATTTGAGTTGTTTCCTGTTTTAGTCATTACAAATAAAGCTGCTATGAATATTCATGCATTCTTGTGTGAACAGACCCTAAGTTTTCATTTCTGTTGGACAAGTGCCCTAGAGTACAATTGCAGGGTGATATGAGAAGCACATGTTTAGTTTTATAAGAAACTGTCAAACTTGTCCAGAGTGGCTATACAATTTTACATTCCCTCTAATAATGTGGATCCAGTTTCTTTACTTCCTCAACAGCATTTGGTGTATCACTATTTTTCATTTTAACATTTGGATAGATGTGTAATAATGTCTCATTTTGGTTTTAATTTGCATTTCCCTAATGACTAATGATGTCGAACATCTTTTCATGTGCTTTCTTGTCATCTGTATATCCTCCTTCAGTGAAATGTCTGTTCTTGTCTTTTGCCCATTTTTTAATTGGATTTTTTAACTGTTGAGTTTTGAGTTCTTCAAATATTCTATTATTTGTTTAAAAAATTTTACGACTAGTCAAGTGCAGTAGTAGGAAGGGGGGAAACAGTATGCATATATTCTAAATATAAGGCCTTTTTTGGATATGTGGTTTGCAAACATTTTCTTCCATCCTCGCTTGTTTTTTCATCCTCTTCAAAAGGTCTTTCATAGAGCAAAAGTTTTTAATTTCAATAAGGTTCAATTTATCAACTTTTTCCTTTTATAGATTGTGCTTTTGGTGTTAAGTCTAAAAATTATTTGCCCAGCACTATGTCCTGAGGATATTTATACTATTTTTTCCTCCTACACTTTTGATAGTTTTACATTTTACATTTAAATCTATGATTCATTTTGAGTGAATTTTGTATAAAGTGTGAGGTTTTATATAAGGTGTCAGGTTCATTTTTTGGTCTATATTTGTCCAACTTCTCCAGCACCTTTTGTGGAAAAGGCTCCTGATTCCACTTTTGTACCTTTCCCCCATGCATTCCCCGTACAGCAGTCAGAATGATTTTTAAAAAACGTATATCAGATGATGTTATGCCTTGTTAAAAATCTCTATTAGCATCCCACCACAATACAATCTGGTCCCATTCCAACCACATTTTCTACCACTAGGTGCCCACTATGACGCGTGGCTCTCAGATAATCGCCCGGTTTGCTTTCTCACTTCGTGCAGGTCTATTCTCACTTGGGATTTCCCCGACCAACCTTATTTTCCTCCCACCCTGCTTTTTGTTTACAGCACTTACAAAATGCGATATATTACATATTAATTTGCTTGTTTATTGTGTGCCTCTACCCCCAACCCCAACAGAAGCTCCAAGAGCGCATACTCTTATAACACCAGGGCCTAGAATAGTACCTGGCGCATGGGAAGTAATAAATAAAAGATTGCAGGACAAGCTAGAAGGACTGAATAAACACAAAACGGGAGCGACAAATCTACTTCTAGGTCAGGCGCTTCTTTGGATTTCATGCAAAGTGTGAGCGCCACCTCTCGGGAAGCCTATTCGCTCGCGAACGAAGGAAGTGAATCACAGAATCTTAGTGGGGGAAAAAAAAAAAAAAGAAAAAGAGAAAAGAAAGGGAGCAGCAAGCCGGAAAAGCCTGAAAAAACTAACGCCGGAAGCTAAACATCAGAAGGTTGCTCCCTAGAATGACTCCGTACCCACAAGGAGGAAGCGTGGCCGAGCGGTGTTGCGCAAAATGGGCTCTCCGGCCGCGGATCTGCGCAGAAGCGTTCCGTGCGTGCGGGTGCCTGGAAACACGTGGGGCCCGAACGCTTTTCCGGTTTGACCGGCAGCAGCCCAAGTTGAAGCTCGAGCAACAGAAGGGGTGAGAGAGGTTCGGCGTCCTGAGGGGAAAGGGAAAGGAGCGGGGTAGCGGGAGAGGGAGAGGTGAGGAGGTTTAGTGAAGAGGTGAGTTTTGCTCTGAGAGATGGCGAGGGGGATCGGAGGGGAGGGAAGGGCTGGGGTGTGCCTGTCGGCAGGTGCATACCTGTCAGCACACGTCCCACGCCTCGTGGACTCGCCTTTGTCCGTGCCTGCCTTTCCCATAAGGCCGCGACAACAGGGGCTGTGCCTCATTTGTTTCTGTCGAGTACAGTGCGGGGCACGGAGTTCGTCTCAGCAAGTGCTTGCTGAATGAATGACGGGTGTGTCAGGGATCGGTGTGTAGGGGCGTTTATAGGGGCTATTTCTAGCGCTTTAGCCCTATTTTCTCCTGGAGAATCATGCTTGCCCCGCGCTCCATCGACGGTTCTCGAGCCAGCCTTCAGGCTTTGTCTCTTTTTCTTGGAAGAGCAGAGCGATTATCATTTAAGGCATTGTCTTTGCTCTTACTGACTGCTAGGCTCTGTCACTAGGTACCACAGACAGACACGGGAGTAAACCAGCCCTGTATGCGGGCCGCAGCCCAGTGGGGAGGTGGACACACAAACGGATAATTGGACTACAATGTTAAGGGGCTGTGATAAGAGGTTAACTAAAGTACGGGAAGGTAGAGCCAGGAGGTGGTGCAGCTGTCCACACTAGGGGTTGTCTTTCAGGGTGAACTGGGCTCCTCCTTTCTTACACTGTGAGACAGGGCAGGTTATGAGCCCAGTCTTCTTTGTGAAATCTGGGGTGATGCACTCTAGGCTTCCTTCCAACATGATGTCCCGTATCAGATATAAGTAATGACTTTAGTTCTCCCACAATCCACTGTTCATTGGCTGGTCAGAATATTCGTTACATATTATATTAAGGTGTAGCATAAATTGCATAGGGTTGGGAAATCTGGATTTTGGTCCTCTTCCTGCTGCTCTGGTCCTGTTTCCTCATTTGTAAAATCAAGAGGGATATAATGAAGAAATACAATGACATATTCTCTAAAATCCCTTCCAGTTTTAATACCATGGCTGTGACAATCAGTCAAACTGTATTTCATACTGCCTTGTACCAGATGTCACTTTGACATTAGTAAAACTACACATCGGTGTGGTTTTCCCCAACCTGGACTATTGAGAAAGACAGTGTCTTATTTTTATATCCCTATCTTGGTTCCACCACAGTATTGGGTACACACACAGTAGATGCTTAACAGAAGTTTATTAAATCAAATGGAATAGAAATTACAGCCCCTCCTTTTGGACCCTTCTCTTTTTTGGGATATTAGTTAATAGATGAGAGGGCTGGGGAGGAATGGTTTTTACCAGAGGGAGACATGGAGTTGACATTAGAGATTAAACCAGCTTTATGGGGTAATCTGCTTGAGAAGGATAAAGATGTAGTAGGAGATTAAGTGCCATTACATTTCCCCAAACGCCTATCCTCAGGACCATGGCCAACTGTGAGCGCACCTTCATTGCCATCAAGCCCGATGGGGTCCAGCGGGGTCTTGTGGGAGAGATTATCAAACGTTTTGAGCAGAAGGGATTCCGCCTTGTTAGTCTGAAATTTATGCAGGTAAGCAGACTTCATTCTTACTATTTTGACTCCTCTGTAGTATAAGGGAACACTGCAGATGAACCTGTTTCTCCCCTCCCTCCCCCTTTCTTTAAGAAATGGGGTCTTGATATGTTGCTCAGTCTGGAGTGCAGTGGCTATTCACAGGTGCAATCATAGTGCACTACAACCTGGAACTCTTGGGCTCAAGTAATCCTTCTGCCTCAGCCTCTCTAGTAGCTGGGACTATAGGAGCGTGCCACTGCACCTGGCTTCCCCGCTTTTTTAGACTTCTCCATCGTAGGGTGAACACAGATGTCTTGAAACCTGGAAACTCCTCATGGGCCTAGCATCTTGGCTAAATCTTGGAACAAACCAAGTTATTTGGGACTTTTGAAAATAGTCTCTCCTTTCCCTTAGCAATGCAGAGTTCCGTGTAACTACTGCACCACCGTAATTTCTGACTCAGGGCTCTGGGCATGTTTAAATTGCTGGTCTTGAGCTTCCTGATCAGATAATTTTAGAGTGCTTTGAGGTAATTTTAGAGTTCTTTGAGGCAGGTTGTTTTTCAACAAGAAAATCTTTCCATCATTTTACTACCCACTTAGTGTCTAGCATATATTGGGCACCATAGGAGCTTATGGGGGAAAACTATGGTTTTGCCTTTGGAAAGGCTCTCCTGAAACAGCAAAGAGAGGACACATTTGCAAGACACTTACAAAGCAATCTTTCAATAAATGCAAAGAATTGATTGACCAAGAACCATTTTTCATACAGATTTAAGAGAGGAGAATTCAAATTCTCAAATCAAACAAATTAGAGGATAGTATTTTTTCCCATTAAGGGAATCAATTTTGGACCCTCCTAATGCATTTTAAATGTAGTTTGATTAGCAATTTAGTTTCTGGATGATATTTTAGAAAATCGCTTTAATGTAGAAGGGGGTAGACTGATGTTCATGCTGAGGGGAAAGCATGGTGTCCAAGGTCAAGGGGCTGGCGTCTGTTTAGGGCCTTTTTGCTGCACCATGCCATGGTGGAGCTGAAGGACAAGAGAGTTCGAGGGGAGAGAGAGAACAAGAGGGGCTGAAACTCACTTTTATAACAAGCCCTTTGCTGAGATAAGACATTCATCCATTCATGAGGGTGGAGCCCTCATGACTTTAACACCTCCCAGTAGTCCCTACCTCCAAACACAGTTGCATTGGGGATTAAGTTTCCAACATATGGACTTTGGGGGACACATTCAAACCATAGCAGAAGGTAAAATGAAATGAACACATTTACCATGTGCTGGGCACATATGTTTTCTCATCTAGCCCTCATGACAACCTTGAGAAATACTTATTCCTATTTTCATGGTTGTTAGTGATGAAGAACCTGAAGCTTGGGATGGTTAATGATCTTGGTAGCCCATAGTGATGCAGCTGGATTTTAACTTGGGTCTCTGTGACCCGAGTGCAGACATTTTCTCCTTTACACTGAATTTTCTGTCAAGGATACGGGTTTGGTGAGGAATGGGAGGAGGGATAACTGCATGACTCTAAAGGGTTATTTAAATTTGGTATGGAGGTGGGAAGCAAAGGAAAACTTGAGCTTTTCTGCCTCCCCATGCCCCGAAAAAGCCTGTGATCTGTTTTGCAGACTAAAGATAATCAGAACCAATTAATAGAATTAATTAATAGGAGTTCCAATTAATAGGGGTATCTGGGTAAGGGAAAGTGAAGTCAGTGTGTATTGGGAGACTACCACTAGAAAATTCTTCCATCCAGAGAGGAAGGGACAGGGTGAGGGGTGGATCCCTATCATGGAGTGATCACGTGGCCATGGAGTTTTACTTTGGCCAGTGGTGATCAACCAGCGGTTGAATGATAGGACGTTCTGGGTGCACTTTTCAGCAGCTACTCTCCACATTTGTGTGTATCGCTGAAGTATGCAATATGCTTCATACGATGCAGTACCGCAGAACTAGGAAAACTAGGGGACCCTGTTAGACTCTTCACAAGCACATATGCAGTGGCAAAGAGAGAACACAGCCAAGCTGAGTTGAAACTGCTAAGCAGATGGTTTGTTCTCTAGCTAACTTGACTTGTTCCCACATACCAGCCTTGCAGTATGAGAGATTCTAATTCATTTTTCAGCAAAATTCTTATTGCTAGATGTCCTGTATTTTGGGTGGTTTGTAAATACCTGTGGGAATCGCACAGTCACCGCTGTCACGCTTGGGCCTTTATGGTCTGAATAAACGTGCAGTATCCCTGGGAAACGGCCTGGTTCAGTTTGCTGCTCACCGAATGCTCAGACTATCTTCCTCACTTCCCTCTAACATTTTATTTGGGGTTTGCTCTGGGAATGGAAATTCACCATATTATTATTTTCCTGTCTGAACCGAGATGGCTGGATTTAATTGTAATGGTTTGTGGTTTTATTCTGATCAGTCAAGGCCAAGAGGGGGACAGTTGGTACAAAACTGTAGAAGCACTTTTATTCCCTGTCACTGCTCCCTTCTGGTGGTATGGAGAATGAATCGGGTTATAATCAGTGAGCTTTTAAATAGCAGATGGGTGAGGGGGAATTATCTAGACTGCTGGTTTTTGGATAGTTTTGAGGCCAGTCTCATTCTCTATCCTGTGGAATAGGCTTCCGAAGACCTGCTCAAAGAACACTACGTTGACCTGAAGGACCGTCCATTCTTCGCTGGCCTGGTGAAGTACATGCGCTCAGGGCCAGTGGTTGCCATGGTGAGTGTGCCTGTGTGGGACGTTGATGTGTATGACTCAGTGCACAGTGGGGAAGAGTGAGTGCTGTGGCTCCTGCTTCTGGTGCCAGGTCCTCATTGATGCAGAGGAAATGGGCTGGGAGGATTGGACAGTTAAGGTAGGAGTTGGCTCTCTGACCCACCAAACACAAGGTACGTTTGCTTGCTGAGCGAGCACCCATGGCTAGGAGAGGTCAGGAGAGGCCTGCCTGATTGTAGGCTCCTGGGGGGCAGGGAGATTGGCTCTTGTTTATCAAAGCACTGCTTCTCCAAGTATGTATTACTTATCATCTTTGTGCCAGGCTGTTTTCTAGACACTGGGGATATAGTCATGAATGAGACTACATAAGGTATCTGTTTTCATAGCTTTCTTTGCCTACATTTCTTTTTCTTTTTTTATTACTTTAATATTCTTTTTACTTTTCTTTCTTTTTTTCTTTTTGAGACGGAGTCTCTCTGTTACCTGGGCTAGAGTGCCGTGGCGTCAGCCTAGCTCACAGCAACCTCCAACTCAAGGGCTCAAGCAATCCTTCTGCCTCAGGCTCCTGAGTAGCAGAGACCACAGGCACCTGCCACCACACCTGGCTAATTTTTTCTATTTTTAGTAGAGACAGGGGTCTTCCTCTTGCTCAGGCTGGTCTCGAACTCCTGAGCTCAACCAGTCCTCCCGCCTCGGCCTCCCAGAGTGCTAGGATTACAGGCGTGAGCCACCGCGCCCGGCCTGCCTATACTTCTTGAAGGGGGAGTAGGTAGGGGTGGGCAGACAATAAAGAAACTGAAAAATACATATATCAGCTAATGCTTAGTGATATATGCACAGAAAGGAAATAGGATAATGTGATAGCAAGTGACCACTTTAGATTGGATGGTCAAGGGCTGCATTTTTCAAGCTAAGATCTGAATGACAAGGAGGAGGGAGGAGGCAGCCATGTACAAAATCAGTGAAGAATGTTCCCAGTCCAGAAAACGCATGTGCAAAGGACCTGGAGTGGGGCCGAGCTTACTTTTTGAAGTACAGAAAGAAAGGCCAAATGCCTGAAGCCTGATAGGTGATAGAGAAGTTAGGAAGGGAAGAGTTCAGAGGCATGGGCAGGGGCCACATCTGGTAGGGCTGTGTTGGCCATGTACCTCCTGAGTGTTGGAAAGCTCTGGGAGGTTTTACTCTTGGCATTTGAAAAAGGCCACTCTGCCAGGTAGCCCAACCCTGACCTAAAGAGAATTCCCAGAAGTCTTTCCTGGGATTTGAATTTGCAGTAACCGGTGTGAGCATTCTAGCAGCAGTTTGGTGATCATGTACGATACTGCAAACAGGACCTATGCTGAAAAAAAAAAAAGAAAAAGGTCACTCTGGCTGCCATATCGAGAATGGACTGCAGAAAGGCAAGCATGAGGGCAGGGAAACCAGTATCCCCAGTGCTGGAATAAGTAGATACTCTGTAAATATTTGTTCACTGAATGAATGGCATCTTATGGGGCCTTTTTCTTTTCCTTTTTTTGGATTAATAGTTGCCAGGGCTGGGCGGGGTGGCTCACGCCTGTAATCCCAGCACTCTGGGAGGCCGAGGTGGGTGGATTGCTCAAGGTCAGGAATTCGAGACCAGCCTGAGCAAGAGCGAGACCCCGTCTCTACTAAAGATAGAAAGAAATTCTCTGGACACCTAAAAATATATATATAGAAAAAATTAGCCGGGCATGGTGGCACATGCCTGTAGTCCCAGCTACTCGGGAGGCTGAGGCAGGAGGATCGCTTGAGCCCAGGAGGTTGAGGTTGCTATGAGCTAGGCTGAGGTTGCCATGAGCTAGGCTGACACCACGGCACTCTAGCCAGGGCAACAGAGCCAGACTCTCTCTCAAAAAAAAAAAAAAAAAAAAATAGTTGCCAGATTTTCTGCTGAGATTGGTTTTCCTTGACCATATCTTCTTCTGTCCTTGGAGGTCTGGGAGGGGCTGAATGTGGTGAAGACAGGCAGAGTCATGCTCGGAGAGACCAACCCTGCGGACTCCAAGCCTGGGACCATCCGTGGGGACTTTTGCATCCAAGTTAGCAGGTGGGATTTTAGTGTTTTTTGTTTTTTTTTTACCCTTTTCCAAAATCTGAGTTTGATGCCCCAAGAATTTGGGTTTCTGATGCTGGAGGTGGACATGATGCCATATGTGGGTCGATTTTATCAGAGTTTATTATTTTCCTCCCTTTTAAGTTGGCGTTTGGCTTTGAGGGCTCTTTGCCTTTGGTCATCAACATCACTGTGGTTGTGCCTCTGTTATAGAGTACAGAACCTGGTACAACACACTTTACTGGCCAGAGTCTTCCCCAAGCCGGCTCTCAATGCTTCATCAATGTTGCTGGGAGGGCTGGATGTAGGGAGGGCATTTTTCATGCTTATGTTAATGGCAGCTATGGTTTTTTTTCTTTTGATATGGTCTAATGTACATGGAGCTTTGGCCTTTTTCGCTGTAATGGGTGTAGGATTTCTGGCAAGCAGCAGTGCAGTGGGCTTCTGGGCAGTTTAATCCTTCTGGTCTTGGTAATGTGGCTGTCTCTTTCCCCACCCAGGAACATTATTCATGGCAGTGATTCTGTGGAGAGTGCAGAGAAAGAGATCCGTTTGTGGTTTCGCCCTGAGGAACTGGTGGATTACAAGAGCTGTGCTCAGGACTGGATCTATGAATGACAGGAGGGCAGACCACATGCTTCTCCCATCCATCTCCCCTCCTTCCCATGGGCACTGCCCAGGCTGTAGCAAACCGAGTTATTTATGGAAACTTCCTTATAATTTGGAGGGGAACTCCTGGAACTGTGAGTGCTCCCTATACAGTGTTATGTGCTATCATCAGATTAAAATGTTTTATCTCAATGTATGATTTGTTGAGTTGGTTACTCTGTATTGCTGTTTTGCTTTGTATTGTTTTTTCTTTTCATGTACTCTGGATAACCTGAGTTAATAGAGAGTGTAAATACCATGTAAATTATGGGTGGTCCCTGGGCTACAGACCAAATACGTTCCTGAGAACAGGACCATCTTTAAGGGCTGATTTGTATGTAACTTGGATCCCTGATGAGCAGCGCATATATGTTAATAGTAATAATAACAACAATACTGTAATGGCTCATATGTGGTAATGACATATTGTAATACTGGAATTATAATAATAGTACCCCTGTATCGTAATAATAAATTACAGAAACAACTGTGCTTTCTTTTAATTCAAACAAACAAAACATAAAAACAAACTCATATAAAAAGAATATATAGGAGATAGAAGAAATTTCAAAAAAGAATATTAAAGGTTAACACTCACCTAATGTCGCAGCAATGTCTTGCTTACTGGGAGGGGCGTTTTTGGGGCAAGAAGGCAGCTGACATTATTGGAAGGTGACGATGGAGATGGTGCTGGAGAGGACGGAGTGCGTGCTGGAGTCAGGGTTTGATTCTGTTGCTGGAGGAGGGGGCTGACCACTGAAGTTGGTTACTTGAGAATGGTATCGAGGGTTGTCTGCACAGCCTTTTTCATTTTTCATCATAAATGGCCTTGTAGCAGCTGATGTTCTCACTAACTGCATGGTAATCCTCCGTAAACTGCTCAACGTTAGGATCTTTCTCCTCAAGCTTAGCAAATCCTGCTTCAGTGAGATGAAAGGATTCAGCTAATTCTGTTGTTGTAAACTTTCTTGGCTCTGGATCTACTGATTCTTCCTGTTTTTGTGTGTCTATAAGCTGCTTCTCTATCTATGAGACGAGC